CCACTACCACTACCACTACCACTGCCACTGCCACTGCCACTGCCACTGCCACTGCCACTGTCACTACCACTACCACTACCACTACTACTACTACTACCACTACCACTACCACTACCACTACCACTACCACCACGACCACTACCACTACCACTACCACTACCACTACCACTACCACTACTGCTACAACTACCACTACTACTACTACTACTACTACTACTACTACTACTACTACTATTACTACTGCTTTTACTCTTTTCCTGCTTCTACTGCTACTACTGCTACTAGTGCTACTACTGCTACTACTGCCACTACTGCTACTGCTACTGCTCCTTGTGACGCTGCTGCTACTGCTACTGCTTTCTCTACTGCTTAGTCTGGCAATAGGTTCTGCAATCTCCCACCCCGTTTAGGCTGCTGCAGGCTTCTGCAGAGCTGTGCAGGGCTGCCGAGTTACACAAGCGTCGAGTTGAAAAGGATAGCGGAGTCGGGAAGGCGTTTGCACAGGAGTCGCAGGTCTTTCTTGACTGGGGCCGTTTGGGGCCCGAGTCTTAAGAAGGAAGCAGCTGAATGAGTTGATCATGGTCAGAGCCTTGCTCCTCGAGCCGATTATCCAAGCCAGTCCACGCGTCTGGTTGACATGCCCTGGCGTACGCCACCAGACGCGGTGGTGGCCGCACAGTTGAACAAGCTTCCCATCCATGACCCAACGTGGCTCTGCGGCCTGTGCTTCGCGAGGTGCAAGAATGTGTACTGCACGGTTGTGGTTGTGGTGTTCGGCGTTGCGTTTATGCCCATTGTACTCCTCCCAATACTCGTCGCTTTTCAGTGCTGGGGCAAAAGCCTTGAATGCTGGGAGCGCTCAGCAACAGATCGGGCAGCTGCTGTAGCACAAGTATCCTTAGAGTTAATCGTCCTGGTTGGGGCACTGACTGGGATCTTTGGTCTTTGCGTCTGCTTCTGGTGGCTCAAAAGCAGTGCATATCGGCGCTGCCGCAGCTCCGACTTTCATTACGGATACGCTGTTGTGGGCCCAGGTAGCTGTTGGGAAGTGAAGTTTTGGTTGCTGAACTGCGGCGGGCAAGGGCGGACAGTTGATGAGATTCGACGGCAGCAAAGGCGGGTAGACCGAGGTGGTTGTACAGCAGACTGCATATGTTGCATCTTTCATACCGTGGCGAACGCCCCCATGCTCCTGTATTCATGCTTCTGTTGCTGTGATCAGGTGGAAAGCTTATACCTGCCTACGGAAGTCTGCGTGAAAGGAGAGGAGGTCGCCTTGCTCTGGCCAGAGCCGTGTCCAGAGCCCCGAGGGCCTTAAGGCCTATCTGTCAGCTACATTTCTGGGAGTTGATGAGGAAGATGAGCCGCAGGCAAAGTTTCTGTGTGCAGATGGGACGGTCTATTGGCTCACTGTTGAAGACATGTGCGATGGGGAGCTCTGCTTTGTGGCGCCAAGCTTCCTGGTCGGTCATGATTGCGTGGGTTTGGATGATTTGCTAGACATGGATTCTGACTGCAATGCCGGTGCCTGGTCTCGATATTTTAACGAGGGGGGTTGGGGTTTGCTGGCTGCACTGTACTGTGGCAGCCTGCCACACAGTAGCAGCCACACGGCAACAGAAACTTTCGCACGGGATGGGCCAGATCGCGCACAGTACGTGCGGCCATGAGCAGTGCACAAAACCGGCACGTCAAGTTGGCTCGAAGCCTTTCCAAAGCCAGCATGTGCGCCGTCTGCTTTGCTGTAAAGCACTGCAGCTGAACTACAGTTGATGTTTCCAACATGAAGATTACTGCAGCGAAGTGGCGCGATAAGACTCTGTGTATGCGCATCCAACATGTACTACCGCAGCACATGCGCACCTACACACATGCACATGCACTTGCACTGCTTCTCCAGCTGAATGCGCCTGCGTTCGGGGAGCCAAAAGGTGATGTCCTGTTGAAAGTTCGCTGCAAGGTTTCTGGGGTTTGAGGTTTCAGGGTTCTGTGTCTTACTAATGAAACTACTGACAAGAGGGATATCAATACTGAAATACGAGGTTAAAGAAGACAGTACGAGGAATCATAGCACGGATATTAGCCGCAACAAGAATCAGAAGTCTGTATATGAATATGCTTATATGTGTGTGTATATATATATATATATATATATGTGCACATAGTTGTATTCGCATACATGCTTCACACATTCGTACGTACCTGCATCATACATGCGTACATACACGCATCGGTGCATGCATCCATACATGCATGCATGTATACAGTCATACACACGTGCGTGCGTAGACGGGCTTAAATAGCAGTACACGTACACTTCTTCTTCGAATCTGGTTGTTTGTTTGTCTGGTTATTTCGTTGCAATTTATGGTTAATTAAGGGTTGAGGGTTCAAGGATTTTCAGGCTGTATGGTAGGGCTGCAGTGACCACGACAGCACTATACAGTCCTTATCACACGGTTGTTAAACCTCATGGAAGTGTTGGTGCACCCTAATAATAAGACAATCTAGCGTCCTTTAAAGCCTTGACAAGGCCTTCACAAGAGCTCCCAAGCTCCGAAGCATGAGTCCCATAGGAGCTGGCCCTGCGGAAGCCCACTTGCGGCCAGCGGAGAGCGCCGAGTTACCAAGCGAAGGCAGCACTTGGATTTCATCCGTGAACCCTACAGCCTGCACCCTGAAGCCGACATCCCCCTGAAGCCTTAAAGCCTGACCCCTATTAAAACCCTCCAGCAAGCCAATACGCCATCCAAAGTAGCTGGTAAGACGCCACACCCGCAGGCCAACAATGAAGAACTTGTCCCTACCCTGCAGGGGCTCGGCCGCCATCCGCTGGCATGTCGGTAGCAGAAGACGCCGCAGGCCATGGCCTGCATGGACTCTTTGTTGTGTTAGACTCGAAGCCCTGCGTCAAATTATCGCAACAGGGTCACAGAATGGCCCCCCTGGACCCTAAACCCCGAACCCTAAACTCAAACCCTTAACCCTAAACCCTAAACCCTAAACTCTTAACCCTTCAAACTAAAAAAACAACTGGACAGGAGATCGTGGGACTCGCGCGCCCTCTCCGGCTCACCCTGAGACGGCTGCAGACGAGCGGAGCGCTGCAGGCGTGGATTTCGTGCGAAGCCTAAAGTGCCTAAAGCTCCTTTATGGTGTAGGGTCAGGGGGGGTTTAGGGTTTAGGGTTTATGGTGTAATCCGTGCTCCGTATCAGTGCCCCCCCCCCCCCCCCCACCCCTCCGTAGAATTAGCAGGCCGCCTGGTCAATTTGGAGGGTCGGGTCGGTTCCTGTCCACGTAGCTTCAGTGCAGTGCCCACAGTGCGAGGTTGAACTTCAAGCCCTTTAGGGTTTAAGGTTTAGGG